AATGATTCTTTGGTCAGATTTGGACTCCTCAAGAGTGCTGCTGTGCCCTTTAAAGGATTTCGAAGTCTCTTGTCACGAGACTCCAAGCCACTTCATCAGGCCACATTACATACAGGTCATTGTATGTCATTTCCAAAGGTTGCATTTGGATCCCCGGTGCCAAACTGCCTGACTTCCTTGGGTTTGGCCTGGATCCCTCGGTGGCCTCAGCTCTCCACTGTCTGTCCAGCAGATGGTGACAGGGCACTTCTGTATCCAGGCATTCTTCTGGGACTGGGGACACACAGAAAGGACTGAGTGAATAGAAGTTTGCTAGGGGGAGAAGCGTGTTCCCAAGACCCAGAGGCAGTAGGCGGTGACAGGTTGTTTCCCTCCTGGAGGTTGCAAGCTTGGAACCAGAGCCTTACCCCTCTGGCCATGTCCTCAGGACACAGGATGTTTACAGAACAAAACCTCCCTCAGGGTACAAGTGCTCCTAAGAGGGCAACTTCTGGCATCGAGTTCATCACAGACAGTAGCCTGCTGTGACTTAACCCGGTTCTGGCGCACTTCCCAGGGCTGGCGGCCTGTCGTTGGCGCTGGTCCTTGCAGTATGGAGTTCACCTGCTCTGCTGGGCCTGGGTTTACCTGCTCTCTGCCCAGTCCCCACAATGCCAAGCTGGCAGCCTCCGATTCCCGGGCCCAGCAAAGTTTCAACACGTCTCTTTTCCTGGGCTCCCCAGCCGGGGGTTGGCCCCAGCCGGCCTCTGCCATCACTCTCTGGTTGCTATTCTGCTCCTCCATCTTGCTGGACCTTTTCAAGGTCCTTTTTGCCTCCTGGACTCCTGGCTGCTCAGGCTCAACCTCTGGCCCCTACCCTCGTGTTCTGTCCTCATCCTGCTCATTCCGTGATGAGCTTCCAGATCTAATCCATGTCCTGGGCCCCCCACTGCAGGAGTGCAATCTTATTCCTGGAGGGTCTAAGAGCTTGCAGGGACTTCAGAGGGATGGGGTCAGTCCAGCCACATCACATCCAAGAGGAGGAGGGAGAAATTGCCTGAGGCGCCAGGGAGGGCAGGTGCAGGGCCAGAGTCCAGGTCTGTGTCCAGAAGGCTGAGGTCCTCAGCTGTGACACCCTCTACTCCACACCCTTCCCTCACCACCTGGCAGGCCCAGGGCTGCCTTCCTGAGCCACCTGACCCCTGGATTCTGAGCCAGCAGCCCTGTCACAGGCGACCTAAAGGCCCCACAGACCTGTAGAAAAACCCAGGACATCTCCTCCTTCCCCAGAGGGAAAGAGGGGCCCATAGGGTGAACTGTGAGGTGTGAGCTTTTAAAAAATGTCTGTACTTTAAAAATTCGAGTATTTAAAATTCAAAAAGTACAGAAGGGAATACAGTGGAAAGGAAATCTCCCTCTCGCCCCTGCACCCAGCCCGGAGACAGCTTCTGCTTTCTTTATATATGCTCCAGGACAGCCCATGCACACGCCAGCATGTTCGTGTGTGTGTGTTTCTTTTTCTTATTTTAAATTCAAATGAAAATGTGGTAGAATTTGAATTAAAAATAATCTCACACCATGCAGTGTGTTCCAAAGGAGATAAGATTACGTCCTAAAATAAACTTTTTAGAATAGGAGTAAATTTAGCAACATGGAAGGACACTCAGGATATATTAAGTGAAAAAAAGTAAGGTTCCAAAATAGGATGTATGCAGGGTCCTATTTTTGTTAAAAGTTATGTTCTCTAAGTATTTTTTAAAAGTTTGGACTGTCACAGCGAAGAGGAGCCTAAGAAGACAGGACAGCTGAGTATAATGTGTCCTAGATGGGATTCTGGAACAGAAAATGGACATTAGGTAAAAACTAAGGAACGTTGAATAATATTCCATCGTATGTATACGAGGGTGCTTCAGAAAGTAGGTGGAAAAATAGAATCAAACGATCATATGAATCATTCCATTGACTTTTTTTTTTTAAAAAAAGATGACCGGTAAGGGGATCTCAACCCTTGGCCTGGTGTTGTCAGCACCACGCTCAGCCAGTGAGCGAACCGGCCATCCCTATATGGGATCCGAACCCGTGGCCTTGGTGTTATCAGCACCGCACTCTCCCGAGTGAGCCACGGGCCGGCCCCTCCATTGACTTTTTGAAGTACCCTCATATATCAATATTACTCAGCCTTAAAAAAGGAGGAAGTCCTGTAATATGTGACAGTGTGGATAGACCTTAAGGACATTAGGCAAAGTGAAATCAGCCAGTCACGAAAGGACATATACTGCATGATTCCACCTCTATGAGGAACATAATGTAGTCAGACTCATAGAACCCAGGAACGTGTATAAAGTTTCAGTCATGGGCCGGCCCGTGGCTCACTCGGGAGAGTGCGGTGCTGATAACACCAAGGCCACG